CTTTGGGTACGAACATTCTCCCCCCATTGAGGGGTACCCTCAATTAGGTCGTGATGTCGGTCAGCCCTTGACCGAATTGTATCGGAAGCACCTAACAAATCATTGACCAAGGTGGATCGTTCCTTCAACTGAGGTTCATGTTTGTGATTCAGGTCCTTCACATCTTCTTGATGCTGCTTAACACTCCCCTTTGCGATAAAATTGACATTACCGTGGGGACTGAAATTGTGCCCTCGTAGAACTTGATCATTTGGCACGTCTATGGTATGTGGACGTTCTGCAACAAAACTAAGATCTTTCTTGGTTAAGTTTAGAAATGGTGAACCAAAGTCAGCCTTCTTGTAGGTTTTGAATTGATGAGAAGTCGGTTCTATATTCATCGGATTTTTATCTTTCGTTGGTTCATAAGCAACGTTCGGTCCTGCAAAATCACCTCTGCCTTCTACCAGAATAGGGTTGATTTCCGTATCAGATGAGGTTTCTTTATTGAGATAACCTGTGATTACATAACCAAGCCTAGTGCCTTGTGCCAAAGGTTTATTAGGTCCTAGTTCAAGAAGTTCACCGGTTATTACACGAGAATACACCTCAGCCCCTAAGGTTAGGTCAATGGGTCCAGGTTGCCGAAAGTCAGGATCTGCTAACGGCAGTCCCTCGGGAATATTAAGATCGGTTGTAATCGGTACTGACGGTTGGTCTGTAATGACTGTGGGCATAATAAATACCTCTAGTAGTTTTTCAAACCCTGATGTACATGATGAGAGCTTTAGTGTTGATCTAATTGCTGTTGATATCTTTCCTCCGATTCCAGATATTTCAATCGGTGACCTTTCCTTAAGAGATAGCAGATCTGCCATTCTCCTTGAGATAAGATTCACCTGTGATCCACCATCTATTACGGCGCGACATGTTTGTAATTGACCGTTTGGCCCTTGTAATGAGACCTTGGCGGTCGCGAGCATAGTATATCCTCCTACGTGGTCGTAGCCTGCAATGGTTACTGCGCCGGCCACTGGATTGCTAGTTGGTCCTTTGTGTAACAGTGAATGATGCCGTTGCTGGCAGACTCGACAATTGGTCGGTGATCCACAGTTTTCAACCATATGAGCTGTAGACAAACAATTTGTGCATGCTCCTATTTGAATAATGGCTTGGCGCCGTGTTTTGGGGTCCATTTCCTGGAAACGGCTACATGCTCTAAGATTATGTGGTCCTAGGTGACAAATCTTACAGCTCTCTTCGTTGTGAACTGACTGATGGCGTAGTGTTGCTGTAGGTTGAGCGCTTATCGTCTCCAGCATGCAAGCGCGCCGTTCAATAAACGTTAGAACACTCCTTAACGTTGGAATTTCCGTTGGTGCATCCGCTGAATTTTCTAGAGCAGCTAAAGACTGCTGGTCTAGTTTTTTTCTGATAAGAAAACACAGGATTGGATCCCAGGATTTTGTGCTGATATCGAGGTTTTTAAGAGTACTCATTGAGTTTTTTATAGTGTCATGTAAGGCCCTTAGTTGGCGCGAGGAGCCGTCTATAGGCTTATGGTCAATAATTTTAGCTATGGCGGCGAATACTAATATTTTGCTGTTCTGGTACCTGGCCTTCAAGCGCAACCAGGTGTCGTCATAGCCACCCTGTGAGAAGGCTGTGTCTGTCAAGACGTTCCTCGCTTCACCACGAAGCGAACTCTGTAGAATATGTAGTTTTTGACTGGCCGAATATGGTTTGTTATGTACCAATTCCACAAAGAGATCATGGAACCGTGGCCAATCTAGATACTCGCCGTTGAACTCCGGAATGCTAATTGGCGGAAGTGCCAAGTTTAGGCTCATTGGCGCGTCGTTTTCTCGTAGCAGGTTCATTTCGTATTCCTCGTATAATGTGTGGAATTGGGCTAGCTCTGCTTCTGCCAGAGTTGCGGCCCCAGGTGTGCTATCCAATTCGTCGTGGGCTTGCCTAAGTAACGCCCAATGGAGATCCAGGTGCCTTTGTAGGGCTGGGGTGACAGTTGGGGCGTTCGAGGCTAATGTTAATGATGACTCCAATTCGTTGCATCTTCTCTGCAACTGTCGGATCACCGTGTCAATTGCGGAATCTCCTTTGACTTGATCTCTTGTTGTGAGCTTGATGTTGGCCGAAGTTCGTCTGGGGGCCTTCGGAAGCCCGCTTCCAGTCGGCATGTTGTCCAGAAAGATATTCTGATATTTTTCGACCAGCTCTTTAAGTGCTACTAGTCGTGAAGAGTACTCACTTCCAGTGGGTAATGCCGCTTGCTGGACTTCTTCATCTAGGTCGCAAAACTGCTGCCAGAGATCGTTTAACTGATTTAGCTTACTGGAGTAATAGCTGTCTCGGTGGCGTCGGTCGGCAGAATCCTTGCCATAATTCTTAATGAGCTGTTGGATTTTCCCTTTCAGCTCGTTTTGGGTGTCTAGTAATCGATTGTGTAAATCGATTCTTGTGTGACTTGTTTCCTCAATGAATGAAGTAGACATATTGTGTGTCTTGGAAACAAAGAATCTTGTGAAGCTGGATGAAGCTGAGTACCCTGTGAAGCTGGATGAAGATGAAGTTCCTGTGACGCTGGAAGAAGAAGCGTATCCTGTGAAGCTGGATGAAGCTGAAGTTCCTGTGACGCTGGAAGAAGAAGCGAATCCTGTAAAGCTGGATTAAGCTGAAGTTCCTGTGACGCTGGAAGAAGAAGCGTATCCTGTGAAGCTGGATGAAGCTGAAGTTCCCGTGACGCTGGAAGAAGAAGCGAATCCTGTGAAGCTGGATTAAGCTGAAGTTCCTGTGACGCTGGAAGATGAAGCGTATCCTGTGAAGCTGGATTAAGCTGAAGTTCCTGTGACGCTGGAAGAAGAAGCGTATCCTGTGAAGCTGGATTAAGCTGAAGTTCCTGTGACGCTGGAAGAAGAAGCGTATCCTGTGAAGCTGGATTAAGCTGAAGTTCCTGTGACGCTGGAAAACGAAGCGTATCCTGTGAAGCTGGATTAAGCTGAAGTTCCTGTGACGCTGGAAGACGAAGCGTATCCTGTGAGGCTGGATTAAGCTGAAGTTCCTGTGACGCTGGAAGAAGAAGCGTATCCTGTGAAGCTGGATTAAGCTGAAGTTCCTGTGACGCTGGAAGAAGAAGCGAATCCTGTGAAGCTGGATTAAGCTGAAGTTCCTGTGACGCTGGAAGACGAAGCGTATCCTGTGAAGCTGGATTAAGCTGAAGTTCCTGTGACGCTGGAAAAAGAAGCGTATCCTGTGAAGCTGGATAAAGCTGTGAGTCCTTTAGTGGGAAGGGGGTTGCTTGAGTGTGATCCTTTGTTGTTAAAGGATCACGTCGGGGTCACCAATGTTTGTGCCTAACCGAAGTAGACACTTCCGGGTCACACCGCGGGACAAGGGGGTAATGAGCACTTGTCGCTGGCACGGGGACGCTATGATGGCAGGACGATCGCGTCGCGGCAATGGTAACGATGGTTACTGTGATGCCGGACCACAGGCGATGCTGGAGCTGCGCTGAGGGTGAGCTAACGTGGTTAGCTGCTAGTTAAGATAGTGTATTACGAGCCCTATTCCAGATGTAGGAAGTAGAACCGCGGAGTTAAGAGGTGTGTTGATAACTGATTTATTCTTCATTTGGTACATGTTTATATACTACTTGGAACACGGAAGTTTAGTGTAATGATTAGTGAATGAGCTATTATCTAAAGTAGATCAGGGAATTATGATTATGGTAGCAGTTTGCGTAGTTGACTTTGCGCAGTTGGCTGACACTGCAAAATGTGCTGACTGCATTGGCCGGTCAGTGTGCCGTTGAGTCGGTGAGACGGTGAGTTAGTGAGACATATATTATGCTGATCAGCAATTCTCATATGCAGTGGGTGCTACTGAGCGCCTGGTACTGTTCCCAACTTGGCTACTGCTTGATTTGTTGGGTGTGGTCATGTTGAGTACCTTTGGGTACGAACAGTAATTTAAATGCCGCTTGAATGACACAATTCATTTCTTAACCCATTCAGTACTTAATAAAAAGGACGAATTTGTGTAAACATCTACTTTTTAAACTTTTTTCCTCGACTTGAAAACTTGAATTTTTTGATGCAAAAAGTTTCTTCAAACAAAAATAATAGTAACTGCAAAAAGAATTTTTCAAAAATAATTTATGCTTATATTTTATAAAATTTTTGAAAATTTTTAGAAACATGAATTTGAGCCATATTTTTCTTTTTGTCATAAAAAGTTTTTCCGACGTTGTCACCTTCAAAAAATCAATCTCTTGCGCTCCGTTAAGCTGAGTAACGGATAACTGATAGTCAGGGCACTCGTTTTATTCTTCTTAAATTACACCATGCAAACAATTTTAAGTGCTCTTTTCTTAACCAAGGAGCCTTACTTTTCCAGAAACCCAGGTAGCCCTTGTATAGCATTTTGACAAGTTTATTTTGTAAACTGATGTTATTAGACTCTAGACTGCTTTCTATACGGGGTATTCGGCCAGATTAATCAGCATTGCTACAGTGTTGCAGATCGTTGCAGATACTCGTTGGTTGGCCAGGGGTGCTAACAGGATCCGTTCCCGCTCGGTTTCAACAAACTATTTGGTCGTTCCGCAAGGCACCGATTTGATCAATATCACCAGTTTTTTTTTACAAAAAAATACATTGTTTCAATTGTTTTTATAGGAACTTAGCCAAAATTCTTAAAACAGTATCAGGATACTAAATAGTTTATTACCAAATAATTGATTGGTATTCATTCAAAGTAAAAAAAGTAATACATATTGCTGAGGCCGGGGTGAGCTTGTTCAGTGATACTTTTGACTTGAATAGCAAACAATTAAAATCAATATAATACAGCCGACCAAAAGTAAAAAAAAGACAGCATTTGCTTATGTTTAAACAATTTTCAATTCAACGGTTTATTGGTCGAAACTTTTATCAATATTTCCTTGTGTTTTACTTTTAACAAATAAACTAACTTTAAATCACTATTTTAATCTATCTTTCTAGTACAAGCAAGAAGAAATATCCTTTGATCACGTGGCTTTCACAGACAACTCTCAATGCTTAGAAATATTAGAAAAACCACCCCGATGTGTGTTCAAGTTATTGACAGAGCAATGCCATATGCCAAAGGGTTCCGATTCAGCTTATCTAATCAATTTGCACTCTGAGTTCGAGTTTCATCCAAATTATATTAAAGGTAATGATCGTCGTCATTGGGAAACCGAGTTCGGAATAAGACACTATGCTGGTAGTGTAATTTACGTTGCGGACGGATTTGTCGAAAAAAATCGAGATGTTCAACAAGATGTTCTGTTTCACCATATGAGTTGTAGCGAAGACATGTTTGTAAAAGACTTATCAAATTACCAGGTAACTATAAAGACAATTCGTTTATAATCAATTTTGTATTTAAGAGAGAACGCTATAGTTGGGTGACTCGGCTATCAGATATCCGTTACTCAGTTACCAACTTTAAAACAAGGAAGAACGCTATAGTCGAGTACCTCGACTATCAGATACCCGTTACTCAGCTAAATAGAGATATACAAGCAGCAAAGCGAGATTCAAATGCGCCACTTACCGGCGGTATACAGATTTAAGCGTTATGGGCGTTAGAGTGGGCGTGGCAAATTTTTTTTTAGGTCAATCGATAGGTATTGATGAGAACAATACATTTCAGATAAAAGCATAAAAATTGTGGGCGTCACAGGCTTCGCGGTTTGTGGGCGTTAAAGTGGGCGTGGCAAACTTTTTTTAGGTCAATCGATAGGTATTGATGAGAACAATACATTTCAGTTAAAATTTTTTTATCTAGCATAAAAATTGTGGGCGTCACAGGTTTTCGCGGTTTGTGGGCGTTAAAGTGGGCGTGGCAAACTTTTTTTTAGGTCAATCGATAGGTATTGATGAGAACAATACATTTCAGTTTAAATTTTTATTCTAGCATCAAAACTGTAGGAGCCACAGTTTTGGGCGGTTTGTGGGCGTTAGAGTGGGCGTGGCACTGTGCTGAAACAAACCGCCACCTACCGGCGGTATACAGACTTAAGCGTTATGGGCGTTAGAGTGGGCGTGGGCGATCAATCGATAGGAATTGACGAGACCAATACATTTCAGTTAAAATTTTTTATCTAGCATGAAAATTGTGGGCGTCACAGAATTTCGCGGTTTGTGGGCGTTAAAGTGGGTGTGGCAAACTTTTTTTTTTTAGAGTGGGCGTGCCAAATTTATTTTTGGATCAATCGATAGGAACTGACGAAACCAATACATTTCAGTTAAAATTTTTTATCTAGCATGAAAATTGTGGCGTCACAGAATTTTGCGGTTTGTGGGCGTTAAAGTGGAAGTGGCAAACTTTTTTTTATGTCAATTGATAGGTATTGATGAGAACAATACATTTCAGTTACAATTTTTATTCTAGCATCGTTTGTGGGCGTTAGAGTGGGCGTGGCACTCTGCTGAAACAAACTTGCGCTGCGTAAGAAGCTCAGGAATCTGCACGCCAAATCTTAATAGCCTAGCTCCCATAGTTTTCGAGATCTCAGCGTTCATCCGGACAGACAGACAGACGGACAGACGGACATGGCTAGATCGACTCGGCTAGTGATCCTGGTCAAGAATATATATACTTTATGGGGTCGGAAACGCTTCCTTCTGCCTGTTACATACTTTCCGACGAATCTAGTATACACTTTTACTCTACGAGTAACGGGTATAATCATCAAATTCCTTTGACCACATTTTAATAAAGCCCAGCGCACCCCTATCTTTGTTCATCATGGAAGTTATCCAACCCGTGAAACCTGGCCACATATGGAACTAATAAACAATTTTCAAAATTCAATCTAAGCGATCTTTGCTTATGCCTTTGCATTTGCCTTTGTCTTTGCCCTTGCCTTTGGCTTTGGTTCCGGTCTTCTTGGCCCAGCCAAAATAAACAAACCAAACTTAAAGTAAACATCAGCTTCCGCTCGAAGCCCAATCAATTGCGTAGCAAGCTTAAACTATTGCGTTCCAAACCAAATCAAATGGCATCGGTCAGCATATTTAAATTTCACAATAGGATGCGATAATTTTATCCCAAGATTTTATTCTAAACAAAGGATAAGTTCTTGAAGCTCAAAGAAAAGCTTCTGGCCGAGGTTCAAGAAAGAGATCGGAATTGGAATGTAAGAAATAAAGTGTCTTGTACTAATTAAATAAAATAAAAGGTATAGAACCAAGTTTGAATAAATAAAAAATATATTTTCTTAAATAGGTTACCAGTGACAATCTTAATTTGGATGAAGTGTGATTAGCAAACTTTCACCTTGGGTTCAATAAAACACCAAGATCGTTTACTAGTGTTATTCTATCCAATGAGATTTCCTTCAGCGTACATGCGTACATTGAGAATTTACACGACAAAAAATCACTACCTTGCACTTAGAGAACCATGTTTGAAAATTATTCAAATCGGATTCAAAGTTGGACTGGCAAGAAAAATCCCTGTACTGCAGGCATAATTTAACTTCAGAAGAAGGGAGAATGAGTTATAAATGAAGGAAGGTTATTTATAAATAAGTTAAAAGTAGCGGTCCCAGGTGCCTGCCTTGTGGAACACCGGGCTCCACGCAATATCTAAGCACGCACTCGGAAATTACATCGAGACCAGGCAAATAGACGGGCTTAACAGGTTGAAGGTCAATAAGCAGACAGTTTATTAAGAATATTAAATTCGACTTGAACACAGTGTAAGAATAGGGCTGTAAAGAATAAGGTAAAATAGAATATGTCGTTTGAAAGACGTGGCAAAAAATCGGTTATTGCCTGATCAGTTGTTGCGGTAATTTTTTCAAAAGACAGCGAGGTAGAATAACACGACAAAAAATCACTACCTTGCACTTAGAGAACCATGTTTGAAAATTATTCAAATCGGATTCAAAGTTGGACTGGCAAGAAGTATCCCTGTACTGCAGGCATAATTTAACTTCAGAAGAAGAGAGAATGAGTTATAAATGAAGGAAGGTTATTTATAAATAAGTTAAAAGTAGCGGTCCCAGGTGCCTGCCTTGTGGAACACCGGGCTCCACGCAATATCTAAGCACGCACTCGGAAATTACATCGAGACCAGGCAAATAGACGGGCTTAACAGGTTGAAGGTCAATAAGCAGACAGTTTATTAAGAATATTAAATTCGACTTGAACACAGTGTAAGAATAGGGCTGTAAAGAAAAAGGTAAAATAGAATATGTCGTTTGAAAGACGTGGCAAAAAATCGGTTATTGCCTGATCAGTTGTTGCGGTAATTTTTTCAAAAGACAGCGAGGTAGAATAACTGGTGGATTTACGCTTAGTGCTAACATAATAATACAACTTTTTCGGGTTTTGAGAGAATTGAACTTTGCAACGGTTTAAATAGGTTTGTAACTTAGAGAAGTTTAGCACTTAAGTATCTAGAAAAAATAGATTAGGAGCCAGTATCTTTGAATTTCCTGTAAAGTCTGAACTTCTTATTCTTAGGTGTGTCAGCTCTTTACTGAGCCAAGGGGCAATGTTGGAGACTGACGGATGTAAAACGGAACACAAGAAATGAAAAAGAATTGACTGTAAAATTGAAAATATTTGTACCATCATCCATATTTTGGGATGAGTAGAGATCGATCTAATCAAAGCCTGATATGAAACTGTTCAGTCTCCAATAGTCAGCCTTGCGAAAACAATGTAATCGCTTACTTGACTTCTCTGATTTTCGGGTTGAGTAAGAGGTGCTACTTTGGACAGAAACACGCGGTCCGGATTAGTTACAAAGCACTGGTCCAGTAAAAGGCCTAAAGGGTTTCTTATGTAGTTAACTTGAGACAAATATATGTAAAGCAAACCTTTAGTGAACTCCTGATGAGCTAACGGAAGTCAGACATTCGTTTTTTCATTTGGGGACCACAAAGATCCAGGTATATTAAAATCTCTTAGAACCACAAGTTGATCTTTATTAGACAGCTTAGTGGAGACTAACTGTATAGCGAATAGATGATTTAAATACTCCGGAAATTCAGATGCAGGCGGAATGAAAATTACAAAAACGGATACCAATTTAATAAACAATTTTAAACTTTTATTTAAACTTTACTTCCACAATTATTTTTCAGGAGTGATATCTTAAGCTAATTTTACGACTGCCCAAGTTTAAGTTGGTTCTTTTCCCTTGTTAACTCGGGATCGAAGCTTTTGAAAGCTTGTCCTCTTAATTTCCCGAATTCTTGATACCGAAGTTAATAACCGAGTAGGATTGCTGTGATCAGCATGGATAATTTGGAAGCAAAGGCGACGACTAAGTATGGGATCGCGATTTATTACATTTCGGCCGTGAGGTAGGAGTTCTGTAAATGTTATTTCAATGTTATTTTGGGTCGCGTTTTCTATAATGGTTTCAGTTGTAGTTTTAAATTCTGAAATTTCTATTTCTGTTTCTGTTTTGGTGCGGTTTTTTTGAAGTTGTTATATTATTTTGTTTGATTTTGCGTGACTTATATAATGTTAAAAAAGTAATTAAAAATATTAACAACTCAGTTCGAGGGATATTTTTGTATTTCCGGTTTTTAAAAATTTATTTATGATGCTTATGTTGTCTAAACTTAGATTGGAATCGTTAGAGAAAATGTAGTCTGTGGTCTAATCTAACATTTTTTGCTTTTCATTAATGTATTTTATGTTATTAATGACGATGCTTTCATTAAATAAGATCAAAAATGCACCATTAATTAAAGTGTCGTTTACAATGTTTTCTTTGAAGAGGAGGATGACGCCATTGTCCAAATTTTCAAGGCTTTTGATTTTTCCCTTCATTTTTGTACAGTTTGCTTTTTTTCCATTTTATAGAACTCTCGTTAGATAGGTTGCAATAACTATTGAATATCTCTTTTATTGAAATTGGTTTATTTATCTTATAAAATATTCCGTTGCATAACGCTGTCTTATAGTCTACTATTAGTTTTCCACTATATTGGGCAATTGCCGTTGATGTATACAAACTTCAAACATTATTTATTATTGGGTACTTAAAATATATTATAAGCGAATCTTGGTTTCTTACTATTTTGTATGTTGAAATCTCTAACGCCCACAAGCCCCACAAAACTGTGGAACCTGAAGTTTTAATGCTAATATGAAAATTTAAACTCAAATGAATTGTTCTCATCAATACCTATCGATTGACACGCCTACTTTAACGCACACAAACCGCCCACAAACTTCAAGAAATCGTAAATGTGAAAGCGGATATCTCGGAAAATATTAAAGATAGAGAATGGGGATTTCAGATTTAGATTCCGTAGTCTTGAGCGCACCGCAAGTTTGTTACGCGAATATGCCATGCCCACTATAACGCCCAC